AGGCACCAAAAAAACCATCAAAGAACTCCATTATCTGTCAAAATTATTACCAGCTCTCAAAACAATTAAGTATGGTTGACTAATTCTCATAAAGCCAGAGTTTTGTGAGGCAGTAAGAACCTTCTTTTGTCTTCTGTGAGACGGGTGGTGGTACCTGGTGATGCTGTGCATCCCCCGTGGCAGCCGCTCTAAACCTGCTCTGAGCCTTGACCACTCAGTAGAGGGCCTCACCCTGGCTTTGTTGGCCTGGCACCTGAAACCTCAACTGTTCCAGACTCCACCACACAACCTCTTTGGATGTCAGTCTTTCTCCTCCGTCACCCCTTTTCCAAGAAATAAGTCTCTTTCCTTTCCACCTGTGTTTGTGTTTCCATTCCCATTCCAAGCTCCACTGATGGTTTTTTCTCTCTCCTTCTCTACCTATTGATGTGCTCAGGAGTCCAATGATTCTAAGATGTGCTTCTCCCAACCCAGACACCAGGGGTGGGGAATTGATTCCCTGGGGCCACATGTGGCTTTCTGGATACCTGAGTGCGGCCTTTTGACTAAATCTAAATTTTACAGAACAAATCCTTTCAATAAAGTAACACTGTCTTGCTAATGAATAAATAAATCTAATAATTTACTTTCATTCCTCATTCTCCTCTCCTTTTCTATGGCATATGACTTGACTATTCCCTTCTTCATGAAAAAACACTTTCCCCCTCCTTGGTTTATTAATAAAGGACTGTTTGGTTTTCATTTCTCTGTAATAACTTCTTATGTTTCTTTCACTGGCTCTTTTCCAACCCCTGAAAAGTAGATATTCCTAAAGATTCTATATTTAGATTTCTTCCAGGACCACACCTATGGTTATTAATTGTGGCTCTATCTAGTTTACTCTGGCAGAGAAGTCATAATTCTGTAACCAGCCCTAGAATCTTTGAGCCTGATTTTCATGTTTGCTAGACACCCAGGTGCTTTATCAAAATTTTAAACTAAGCACACCCAAAACTCAAGTCATTTCCTCAAAAACCAGCTCCTCCTCTCGGCTTCCTATGTGTACCGATGTCAGTTACCCAAATTCAAACCCCAGAACTGTCCTTGATTTTCCTTCTCCCTCACTTCACCCTTCAACAATCCTATTTGTAGATAACAAGTCATATAGATTCTACCTTTTCTGTTTCTCAAGTCATACCATTATTGTTTCATCCTACACGATTATTAATATAAACCAACTAAATAATCTGTCACCAATTCAGTTCACTTTTTGATATACTGATGCCTGATTAAACTTCTTAATAATGTTCAGCTTTCATCATTACATGGCTCAAAAATTACTAGGGGCAAGTCACTGCACGTAAATTGAAGAATAAACTTCCCACCTTGGATTTCAAAACCCTCTGTAATCTTATCTCAACTATCTTTATCCAACCCTATTTCCCACTACTTTTCTGCACACTCCTACCTTATAGCCAAACTATAGTTCTTCAAGATCTTGTTGTTTTAAACCAATTTGTTGATTTGGATTCAAAGTCATCAAGGCCTCCTACCTCATTAGCTGCCACTTCTCTATATTCTTTGCTGCCTTTTCCTTATTTCTCCAAATTTAAAACATTAGAGACCCTGAAAGTTCATCAGACTTCTCTCCTATCTATGTTTCTTCCCTAGGAACACCATATATATGCTAATGATTCTCAAATTTATATCTCCAGCTCACCTGGCTACCTGGAACTTCAGACTCAAATATCCAACCATCTACTCAGTGTCCCCATTTGGATGTCAGACAGACATCTCAAACCTAACATACCCAAACTTTAACCCCTGATTCCCTTTTGCAGTCTTCCCATCTCAATAAATGGCAACTCCATCTGTCCCGTTACTTAAGCCAAAATCCTTGGAGTCACGTTTGATTCATCTCCGTGTCTCTCTCTCTCTCTCTCCTACATCCAATCCATCAGCAAATCCTACTGGCTTTCCCTTCACAATATACCCAGAGTCTTACCACAGCTCACCACTATCACTGCTACCATTTTTGTCCAAGTTAACTGTAGCTCTCTCCTGGATTATTCACAATAACCTCCTAACTAGAGATTTCACCACTTGCCCCTACACTCTTCTTTCTAGTCTCAAAACAGCAAAGAAAATTCCTGTTAAAGGGAAAGGCAAATTATGTCACTCCTCTGTCCAAAGTGTTAATACTCCCATGGCTTCCTAGCTCACTTTGGAGTCAAAGCCTAGGTCAGGCATGGTGACTCACACCTGTAATTCTTGCAGTCTGGGAGGTCGAGGCGGGAGGATCTCCTGAGGCCTGAAGTTCAAGGAGACCAGCCTCACAAGGGTGAGACCCTATCTCTACTAAAAATAGAAAAAATTAGCCGGGTGTGGCAGTGCATGCCTATAGTTCCAGCTATTCAGGAGGATCACTTGAGTGGGAGGTTGTAGTAAGCTATGATGACACCACGGCACTCTAGCT